GGCGGTATTTATCACCACAATTAATTCTTCAACTATGCAGGGAAGCAGCGGGGGGAAAGGGGAGAAAATGCCCCGTCTCCCCTCTGCCGAAAGGCACCCTGCTTCTCCAGGCGGCTATCAAAGGGGCGTTCGCAGTCGGCCGTCCGGCATTCTGGTGAATCAAATTTATGTGCAAATATAGTTATTTATTTGCTGGCACCTCCTGTGACTGCAGGACACACGCTAGCGGCATCGGAAGCCGAGCGGAGGGTTACAATCCTCCGCAGAAGGAGGGGAGGGTGCGCGGGGGAAAGTAAGAGGCGGCCAGATCCAAGTCCAGTGTTAGGAATTAAAGTAGTGGCTGAGCTCTTGGCAAACATGCCTGCAACTCCCCGGTTTCTCCCTGGCGGACATTCATGCTGTTTATCCCCGTGGCTGGCGAAAGAGCGCGGTCACTAAGATGCAGGGGGCACCAAAAAAATCGCCGTGAGAGGCTCAATTTACTCGAAATATCTTGTATTGAAAATAGAGCCCAGCAAATGGCAGGGACGACTGAGTAATGATTAAAATCGCGTGTAAATATTGTGCATGCGAAAGTGTGGTTCTAATTAGTTTTACATCGCTATGTGGGCTGTCTCTCTCCCTCTCTCTCTCGCTCTCCTTCTTTCTTTTTCTTTTCATGTCTTCTCAACAGTTTAATCCGAAATCTTACAGAGGGCCTATTTTAACACCGCTCTCTCCCACATTCAAAATTACAAAGGCTCATAATGAAACTATTATCCCCCATTAGAGTTCAAAAATCGTGGAACAGTTGCAAGATCTCAATAAACAAGGGGCCCGTTATTTTCTAACAATTTAAAAAATGCAAATAAAGCTCTCTCCTTTTTTTTTTTTTTTCGCCCATTGTATAGACACTCCGTAATAGAAAAAAAAAAAAAAATTGTATTTCTTTCCTGGAAAGACGGAACTCCACGTCATTTGTATTTATTATTAAGAGTCAGCTGTGGTGAAATGTGATTGTAGAACTTCCTTTTTCCATTCAGAAAAAATAATCTTAGCTGCAGGAGTCCTGGATGTTTATATGCGAATTTGGGTTCTCAATTTCAGCAGCGGGTTTTATTTTTTTGGTTCCTCACCAAAACTAATAGCAAATGAATAACAATAACAATAGCGCTTAAAAGAACGTGACTGCATTTTTATTTCCCCTGTAAAATTCCGCATTTGTTCGCTGCCAGCATCCATGAGGCAGAAGAGGTTGTACAGAAAGTAAGAGGAGAAATACAGCAAATAATTAGGTATTTTTTCACGCGGTCACGTTGCTGATAATTACGCTGGGATATTTGACTCTTTTATCGCCGTTTTAGATCCATTTTCACCCAAAGTACATTTTTTCATACGAGCCACGTAGGCGATTTATCTTCATCAATTTACTTTGCAATTTCTTAAGGTTTTGGTGACTTACACTTTCGGGGGCAAAAGACCCCAAACAGGGCAGAAACAACATTGATATAAAAATGCTATATGAAACTAGAATTCCCAGGAACGAAGCACTGCTGGAGCGATCGTGTCCCAATAAAAGTACTCCCTGTCCTCCATCCCAACAGAACCGAATTAGCAGGGCTCCTATTCCGCTAGCTCCAGCACCCAGCTGCATCAGGAAGGATCCTGTCGGTTTTTAAGCGGGGGGGAATCTGCAAGGGCTGTTTCATTAGCCACGCACCACGGAGGCATACGCGGGCGCGGGGCAGGAATTCGCGGGCGTTGGCGATCTCTCCTGAACGGGAAGTTCAGGATCGCCTTTCCCAGGGTTTCCTGCCACTGCAGACCTCTCTCACGGAACCAGTGGTGGTACGAAGCCACGAAGGGGTTTTGGCACAGTGAAGAGAAAAAATGATTCAGAATTTAGAGGAAGCAGTCCAAAATCAGGATGAGGCCGTTCAACTGGGAATCAAAAGGGCAGAGGCAAAAGACGCCATACAGGCACACACAGACACGGGACTGTAAATACACTCCCCGAAATGTACACAGACACTGCAGATAGCCCGTCAGACCTTGTGTGGAGAGGCAAACACAAGCACTTAAATTTGACTGCAATGCAGAGCTCTGCTCCTGCCCCGGCCGGGGACGACTGCTTTTCTGAGTACGGCTGAAATCCGCTATCCAAACTCATCTGAGCTCCTGCAGCCCAGCCTGAAGTTTCGAAAAAGTTCTTAGGTTTCACTATTGTTATTTTTTTTAAGGCAAACATAATCGCGACCGCTAAAAAAATAAATAGAAATAAATGAGCAACGAGTGAGTTTTCTGTCCCTTTCCCCGCCCTCCTTTCCTCCGCGGACGGTGCCCGCTCCGCGGCCGCGGCGGCGCTGGCTGCTGGCGGAGGGCCCGGCGGGAGCCCGCCCATTGCCCGCGGTCGCGCTGCGAACACAAAAGGCGGCGGTGGCGGCGACGGCAGCGGGCCCGGAGAGGTCGCTGTTGCCCGTTCCGCCGCCGCGGAGAGCCCGCACTGCAATCGTGATCGTAACCGAGGCCTTGCGGGCCGCGGGGCAGCCGGCGCCGCCGGGCAGCCCCGGGGTAGCGGGCCCGACGGCGGAGGCACGGAGGCGGCGGAGCCGTGCGCCCGGCTCCGGCAGCGCCAGCCAGAATCGGCCACCCCGCCACGGGGGCCGAGAGCCGCCGGCCGGGCCGGGCACCCCCGCCGCCGCCTGGTCCGCCCGGCCGCGGGCGCTGCGCTCCGGGCCCCAGTTTTTGATGACGCCTGGAGTGGGGCAGGTAGATTTGATCTCTCCCCACCCCCTCCCCCAGGCACTCTTTCAGGTCTCTCGGTTTTTAATAAATCCAGATTGAAAAATACAACAGTCACCCACCTCCCCCCGGCCCCCCGAGCTCGACCCACACCGAGCGGAATGCAAAAACGCACCTGACCTTGAATGCAGCCAACGAGATATATTAAAAACCCGCAAGCAGGCAGGGACTCGCTTAGGAGCTAGCTAACCTTGAAGAACTTGTCAAGCTTCCCCCCTCGGCTGCCGTGTTTATCTGAGGAATCAAAGGAGGCTCCGCTGCAGATGGGAAACAATGGCATTGGGACTTGACGCCTACAGTTCACTTCAGCGCTAAGATTTCTTCGGGTAGAAAGGACCCTCGCACCAAGCATACCTGGTGATGATATCAACTGAAGTAATTAAGGCAGTTTCGTGCTGTAGAGAGAAAGGTGGAGCCCCAACAACATGAAACTACCTAAACCACAGAGCAGTTCTCAGGCGCTAATTATTACTTTCCCCATTGCCGTGGTCCTTAACGCAAGGATCCCGCTACGAAAATAAAACCAGAAACGTGACTAAAACATGCCTCTCGCCCTCCCGCCCACCCCGCCGGCGCCCCTCCGCGCCCCCCGGCCAGCCTCGGGTGGGTTAATGAAAACAAGAGTAAAATATAATAACAACCACCCACACACACACACGCGCGGGCAGCTTTCGCCTTTCCATGCAGATGTAATCGGGGAAAAAAGGGCCGTGCACGACAATGTTACATCACGAAAAGCTAGCGGCTCCCAAGAAGCCCGGGTTCAAAATCTGTCCCCCCCCTCCTCCCGGCATACGTATACCCTTGCAAGGAAGCATTAGCTGTCTCTTTTCTTCCAGCCTTCCTTTTGCGTTCCCTTTGTGCAAGACCCTATTAGCTAAACATGCAGCAAGGAGGAAAGGACGAGGTAAAAAAAAAAAAAAAAAAAAAAAAAAAAAAAAAGAAAAAAAAAAAAAAAAAAAAAGGCAGCCTGTGTGAAATAAGCTCTTCCACATGCAGCCAGGTAGGGAATAGGCTTGTCTGGAGGGGCCCGCTGGCAGGGAGGCGAGGCTGGGGTCCCCCCCCCCCCACCATGATCTCACCTTTACGGTTTCTTCTCAGCCCTGAGATAAAGCTAGAATTTTGTCAACGTCCTCTGGAGTTAAAGATCTCCGCACACTTGTAGGTGTTCGATTAACAAAAATAAAAAAAAAAAAGAAAAAAAAAAAAGAAAAGAAAAAAAGAGAAGAAATATATCGTTTCCCTACCCTCAAGAAATAGTAATTTGCTTCCTCAGTCTATGCAGTTCCTCAGTCAACTGAAACCACTCGTTCAAGACAGCAACAATCCAGATATACTAGCAAGTCATAAAACTGAACAAAAGCCGACAAACCTTAGAGCACCATCGCTATATGGCCCAGACAAATTACGACCGTCTAGGTAATATTTAAATAGATTCCTAAAGTAATTGCAGGGGGTTTAGGCAACTATTCCTGTTGTAAAAGTTCTCGAAGACATAAAGTAGAACCTGAGGATAAACAGTCACAGAAAGAGGTAAAATTAAAAGGATTCATTCCACGTTTTTTTTTTATTCTTCTATGAGAACATAAACATCGTCTTTTCACGCACAGCAGCATTACAATATTAATTTATTCCGATTTAAGGTAAGAACTAGATATAGCTAGAACTAACATTTATAATAACGATAGAATGCATTTGCTTAAAACAGTATCGGCATTTTAATAATAATAGACATTTATCCATATCTGTATTTATAGCTTTTCCCCTTCTTTCTATTTTTTTAAATCTTTTTAATTTTTTTCACCTATATGTTTGACCCTTTAATGAATGTTAACTTCACAGTATAAAGGAAGACGAACATATTCTCCCTCGCAATCTCAGACTCTGGCTCAGAAAGTCCATCTGATGTTCAGGATATATACTTTCAGTGAAATTAGTGAGGAAAAAAGTGACTATTTTCTTTTCAAGGGGGAATTTCTGTGTGCTTGTCATGCGTTACCAATGGTAACGTTATATATAGACACAAAAGAAAATCACCAAATTCACATATTTAAGCAAAACTACATGAAGTAAATATCTACAACCAGCGAGAGAAATTCAGAGGTAAGTGTAATAATTTAGTCCATGAGTAAAACGAAATCTTTTATACCTTTAAAGAGAAGATATTTCATTTTCCTGGCCAAATTTAAAGCTGTAATGTTGGCTTTTAAGGTAAAGTGTAAAAAGAAAAATCATTCCTAACACCCGTTCCCGTGAAACCCTTTTAAAGGATGCCTGCATTTCATTATTTTAAGTCCCGCTTTTCGAAGGAAAAAAGGGGGAGGGGGAGACAAGGCAAACAGAGAAGGGGAAAGCTCCCAGTATATAGAAATATGGCAACGCTTAAATTCTTCATTGTGCAGCTACGTACAGTCCAAGTTACAGCACTTATATTTTAAAAGAATGCACCTTTAACTAGGATTGTTTACTTTTCAGAAAGACAGATAGGGAGAAATATATTTGCAGCTCCTGAAATGGTATTTCTGTATTTCAAAGCTTAGAGGAACAAATTGGCCCCGGGAAAGGCTGAAGGAAGAGGGGAGGTTCACACACGGCATTTTGTGCTTTAGCGTGACTTTAGTCCGCCCACCCCCCAAAGTAGCTCTTAAGAGGTTAAGGACATATTGAGAGCGCCTAAAATCGTTAATCCATACAGGTGCGGATGAATACAGCCTAGGAAAATGATACTGGCTCTTTAAACCATAAAGATGTGTTTATAGGTTCATCAAGAGAAATTAAAGTTGGCTGTGAGCTCCCGAATCCTATTCTCTCTGTTCATTTTCTTCAGTTTCATTCTGCGGTTCTGAAACCAGATTTTAACTTGTCTGTCTGTGAGGTGGACTGTGCGGCTGATCTCTAGGCGACGCTCACGAGTCAGGTACATATTGAATAGAAACTCCTTTTCCAGCTCGAGAGTTTGATGCTTGGTATAGGGGCATCGTTTCTTTCTGCCACTTTTTGCCGTGAGCCAGTTTGCTGCATTTTCTCCTTTTGAATTGCCTAGTTTTGAGAAAGTAAAAAATGGACGTTACCATCGGGTAGGAGGCAAAGAGCTCTGGGGGAGAAGGTTGAAGGAGCATCTGTGTCTGTGTCTGTGTGTGCGATAGGCTCACTCCGCCAGCTGCGGAGAATTGGAATGTGGGGTGTCCTTGAAGGAACCGGGAGCTTCAAAACGGCTTCCCAAAGGTTTTGGATATGTCCGGGTAAGAACTGCCACTGCTCAAAAGCTTCCGGACAGCCTCTGGTGGGGCTGCATGCCCCAGATTGTAGTTTATCTCCGACCCTCCAAAACGAGCTCCTACCCTCTCCCTGTCGGCCATTCCGAGCCCTTTGGTACTGGGGGCAGTTGGTGAAGGGCCTGCAGTCTTATTTCCTTCCCCCCAGGCACCTGCTTCCAAAAAAACAAAGCCTCCGGATCCGGATTTTGTATGTGTGCTATGGAGGTGGAAAACAAGGTGAGCTGGGGAGCCGGAGCCTCCCTGCCTTCAGCCCCTGCCTTTCCGGAGGGCTTAGCCATGGCCTTCTCATTTCCAACCATTTCGGGGAAGAAAAAATACCGTCAGAACAATAATAAAAACGTTTTGAGGTGCTTTCTAACAGTGGAACTGACTGGGAAAGAGGTAACACCAATCCCTTGGTGGCTCAGAGTGGTTAGTGGTTTGGGGCTGGCTCTCTAACAGTTTTTTGCTGACCCTTCTTTCTTTCTTTTTTTTTTTTTTCCTTTTCTTTAAATGCTACTTCCAACGGGTCGCCTGAAAGGAATATAAGGGCGTCCAAAAGGCGGACGGAGAGAAGCTCCTGCTAAGTCTGCCGTCCGGGGAAGGGGAGTTATTTTTTGCCACGGGGACACGAAAGGGAAATAAATAAGGAAAAGTATAAATAGCAGCTCTGTTATCTAGTGTAGATGCTGAAGGATATTCGCCGTGCATTCATCAGTCTAATTTGATAGCAGCTCATAGATGGCACATTTCAGCGCGGTTGTTATTCTGAAAAGCATTCTGGATCGTAAAATATAACTTACCGCGTTAATAGGTTTATTTATTGGCACTGCCTATTGCTTATTTTGGATGCTTTACAAACATCTCTGTTATCTGGTAGGCACCTTCACATCACGGGGGAGAGATTGATCTTGTTTTTCTATATGTTTTAGCAGCATGCAGGCTAAAGTTGCCCATAGCGGAGGCTCTAAGGGTTTTAAACTATAGGATGGACATTAATTTTTACTGCAACCCCATGCCCGAATATTACAAAGTTCAGAAGGTCAGTCTGAGCAGCGCTTCTTGGCAGCCCCGCGGGGCAGCTGGGATCCTCCTTTCGCATTTCAATGCCACTACGATCCTCAACGACTATTTTTTTTTCTTTGTTTCTTTTTTTTTTTTTTTTTTCCTTTCTCTTTAATCATCACTACCACCATCACCATCATCATTCGCTTACCTACAGGCTCTTTCTCTGGAGAAGCTTTGCTGCTCTCTGACGGAGCTGGAGAGAGCTCCTCTGCGGTGGAAGATGAAGCCTGAGTCTCGTCCTCCCTCTGGGAGACGCACGCCAAGGGGCTTGGGGAGCGTTCCTCATCCTCCTTCCTCCCCGGGTCCGGGACGGGAGGCAAAGATGGAGGCGTCTGGAAGCGGCCGGGGGGCTGCGGAGGGAAAGGGGCAGCCCCGGCTGGCCCCGCGCCGTAGTTCTTGGAAGTGCCATAAGCCTGGGAGAGGCGGAAGTAGCCCGGGACGGGGACCCCGCCGCCGCTGCTGGCCGGGCTGACCTCGGCACTCAGCCGCGGGAAGGGAGCGAGGTCTGTGGCGGCCGAGCCCTTGGGGCATTTCTCTGAGTCATAGAGGCAGTAGGAGCTCTCCTCCTTAATGCTTGTAGCGAAGGAGCACGAGGTGGCCTGCTGGCTCTCCGGCTCTTCCATGCGACAGGACCGGGGAGGATCTAGCCACACTTCCATCCCTGACACGTAGGAGTGCGAGTTGGGGACCATGCTTTGAGAAGTACCTTCATTGCGTTTGCCCAGAACGGGGAAAAGTCCGCAGCTTTGCAGCCCGTAGGACAGATCGGACGCCTGTGGCAGGTAGATACCACTGTTGGGATAGTAGCCGCCTCCTCCTCCGCCTCCGCCTCCTGCTCCCGCCGCTTCCCCTCTGCCCGAGCTGATCAGGGAGTCTACCAAAAAAGAGTTTGCAGCCGGACTCTCGGAGCATGACATTGTTGTGGAATAATTTGGCGAAGGGAGCAGATAGCCCTTTCTGGCTGACATTTCTTGTGCAAAACATGCTGAATATGATGAGAGATACCCCCGCACCACGGCAGGCGCCCGCAGCCAATGGAAGCCCGTGCCTCCCCAGCAACCCCTCCCCGTCTGGTTTCGTATGCACAGAGCTGCTCTCAGGTCGACCTCTGAATTTGGAAGGTAGATGTATATTAATGTGTAATATGGATTTCCATGCACAGAGGCACGCGCATTTCCACCATATGGGCGAGCGCCTGCGCCCAGGCGGGAGCCGAGCTCCCGGGAAGGGGAAGGGGAAGGGGAAGGGGAAGGGGAAGGGGAAAGAGAGGGCTGTGCTGGTACTGGCTCCAAGTTTTGCTCCCCTCTTATCACACACACAGCTATAAAATAGCCCGGCGGTCCTGATGTTTATTATACCTAGGCTGAAGCCGTGTCCAGATGAAGCTTTTACTATCGCTCCTCTCTCCCCGCGGTTGGGCTTTCCAGCAGCAATGCCTGCTCACCTCCCTCCGCAGCCTATGTGTCACACGAAATTAATAAAGCCGCGGCTAGCCCGGTGTTTTATGCTCAGCCTCTGCTCATTTTATTTGATTGTCTCGTTTTTTTAAGAAATAAAAGACGTGTTATTGTTTATCACGGATCATTGGAAACCGTAAAGGGGCCTGGTGCCTCCCGCTTTAAACTACCGAGGAAGGGGGCTGCTTGCAGCCTAACATCACCGCCACGACGCCAGGCTGGGCTTAATTTTCCTGGAGATAAAATGCTCGCCGCTGCGCTGAGGAATCTCTTAGGGAGCAATGCCACTCTGGGAGGATTGATTGTGCGGTTGCAGCTTCTAATGCTTTAGTTAACGCTGGATTCTTCCTGAGGTCTGATTACCATTTAAAATATAAAACCAGACATATGTCACAGAAAGAATCCAGACGCGAGCAGTTCAAATGGATCCTCTCAGGATGCTGCGCACCGTGTTTATTGATGTGTTTATATTTGGACGATCATTTTTATATCTCCCCTCCCTCCCGCTCCATTTGGGTCTTTTCACTTTTCGCCTCTTCAAAAACATCGTCTCCGTTAAGCAATGTACTAAATAATGGAAATAAGAGTAGCTAGATAAATACCGAGATACCAGACAGCCCAGTCCAGTCAATATGTAATTGTGGCGGAGGTAGCAGACAGATAGCAGACAGGCAGGGACGCAGGCAGAGAGACAGATAGATTTCGTAATGAAAAGCTTAATGATGACTTGCTTTCACTTCCATCATCTCTCGCTTATGCCATTTTGAAGTCGCCTCACTGCCTGGCCCGGGAAACTGAGGGCACTTTAGTTCAAGGGGAGCCTGAGGCTGCCCAGTTCCCGCTGCCCATCCCTGAGGAGCATCACTCGCTCCTCTCTCCCGCACGCCTCCGGAGGAACAGCCTTCGGCCGGTTTCCGCTTCCAGCAGGTCGGGCGGGCGAGAGCGGCCTCCGACCGGGCGTCATCACCGCCCGGGACGAGAGCCGCCGCCGGGCACCCGGCTGCCGTGTCCGGGAGGGCACCGGCGGCGGTGCTGGGGCCGCTGCCTGCGGGGAGGGGTGGCGCCGGAGCTGGCGCGGCGCCCCGAATTCCCCGGGCCCTACCCTCGGCCTTCGAAAGCCCCAGGGAGCATTTCTTCCCCCTCGCCCCACGGATCTGTCAAGCTCCACGTGGTCTTGTCCCGCAATATTTGCCTGCCACGGGGAAAAGCTTTTTTTCCACAGCGTGACATTCCCCTGGAGGAATCCCTCCTTGCGGCAGGAGGGCACTGTCCCTTCCCGCGGGGGCCTCTCCAGCGTCCCTCCTCGCCCCCAGGAAGCACCAGAGCAGGCAGGGGATGCTACAACTTTGAGACACCCATAAAATATCTGTGGAAAGGCACCCTGATTTTTCCAGCGTAGTGGGGCGATCATCACAGCGCGATTTCCTTCTCACCGGCCCGTGGGACGCGGTGACAGGGGTAGATCTCCCAGCCTGTAGAAACCCTTCGGGTTTTTTTCCTTCCCGCATTTCCTCCTGTAACATTGTTTGTGATTTCCCAATCCGACTAACTTCGGATGTGTTAATGTGCGATCGACGAACCCTTATCAGATTCCTATGAGGGCCATATCATTACTAACAAAATTAATACCACATAAGGAACTGGTTTATTGGCTGGTATACAGGAAGGCTATTATCAATAGGCTTAGCTTCATAAATACAGATCTAAATAAAAAGTAACGTGAGCCCCAGCGCCGCCTTCCAAATACATTTCTCTACACAAGTCAGGTATAAAAATTACTCTGGGGAAGTCCGCTCTTGCGGTATGTTTATTTTGCATTTGCCAAATTAAATAGAAACGGATTGCAAATCTAAAAGCCATACGGAACCGAGGAGAAACGCTTGAAATCCTTCCAAAGCTGTTTTTAAAATAAGCAGCTCCCTTTTAAAAATTGGATTAAAGTGAAGGAAAGTACTGTAAAAAGTGCGCTGCAATCCTCGTCAGCCGGAACCACTGGAAGTGCATCGACGAGACGCGAGTTGGCTTCTCCTCCCTCTGCGATCCAGTGCAAGGGAATCAGACAAAAGACACAGAGGCCGGTGAGAATTTTTTGGAGGTGTTCTTTAGCCTCCCCGCTCAGGTTCTGCAGCAGTGGGTTACCCCACCCCCGTGTCAGGTCCCGCGGGAGCTGCCGTGGGGCGTTGTGCTGGCCGCAGTAAACCGTGCCGGTTTGATGGTCAAGGCACCGACCCCGTCTAGATCATGAACTCAGCTCGGCGCTGCATTATCTCCGCTTTCTTTAATCGCTAACAAGGCCAAGGCAAATAGTAACCAGCATCATCAAACCCAGCGAAGTAAAACTAATAATGTTCACTTGATTCGTAACTATAAAAGATAATGGTCAATTCTGACTAAACTGAGCTAATTTGGCATGCGCTGAGTGCAGCTACTGCATTACCAGCGCTTAACAATGTGTCCCTTGGAACTTAACCCCTATTTAAAAGAAATTTTAAAGAATATTGTGGACGCCAGGGGACGAGAATTACTTTCTTTTTAATTCTACTTCTGTAAGTAAAGCTATCCGAGGGTCTATAAAACGGAGCAAATAAAATTCTGATAAATATCAAAGCCAGCGAGAAGGTGTTTTCGTGAAGAATCTAAATTCATGGCGTACATAGACAATACTATCAAAATAAAATTTTATTGATCTAAGAAAAATATAATAGATGCATTAATAGCGTCGTTAAGCCGTTTTATTGGTTGAACTAAAATTAAAAACAAAAAGGGAATAAATAAAAACCGACAGCTCAGCCTAAGCAAACTCTGACTGGAAATCTCAAAACGTATCGTGTTAAACCATGATTTATCTTTTTATTATTGGCCCGTATAACCCAAAAGATCAGCGCTGTTAATCCAGAGACGCATTTTGCGAGCTAATTAAAATATGCTTTTATTTGTAGACACGGGCAAGCTGCAATTTGTGAAAACGTAAACGGCCTTGCAGTGTGTGCGGGAGTGCATGCGCCGCCTATCTGAGAATACAGCCGTGGACTACACTTTATACTGCTCCAAAAATTAATGCGATCAGACTATAGTTATTTAATATTGGAACTGTCAGCTCCCTGGAACGTGTGTGTGTGCCAGATTCCTCTTTTTTTTTATTTTTTTCCTTTTTTTTTTTTTTTTTTTTTTTTTTTTTCTTTTCCCTTCTGGATTTGCTCCAAAGAAGGCGGATTTCAGACAGGAGGCTTAGGAACAGCTTCTGTGCCAAGTTAGGTGACAAATGACGGCCCCACTAATTTTATCTTTACTAGAAATTCTTTCACGCTGGTGGTGGTGCTGGGGAGGTTGGCTTGTTTTGGCGGATTATCTTGTTAAAAATTAGGCTGCGATTTAATTTTATTCCAGCCATCCGGAGGCTCGCTCGCCTAACTATGTTTTATATTATACATGTATCGTTTTACTTATTTGGATTAGGAACATATTTTGCAAGTAATTCTGACGAGTTTCAAATGCTAGTGTGCGGCAGGACAAAATACACCCAAACCAATTAATTAGGGGTTTATTTCCTCGCTATTTTCCGGCACTGACGAGAACAACGGGGCTTTCTATTGTCCAGAGAGCCCCAAACACCATGCAGAAGCAACAACGGTATCGGGTTATATATGTGTGGGGAAAATATTGCATGCCCAAGTCTGTCTTTTAAGTGTGCCCCTTCTATTGCGAGAGATGAGCCGCACAGCTCTATGAAACATTTGAAACTGTAGCCTTTCTCCCTTTTTGTAGCTGTCTTCCCTTTAAAAAAGATCTGAATGCATATACCTTTTTTTTTTTTTTTTTTTTTTTTTTTTTTTTTTGTGGTATTGCTTGGCTGTCAGACACACGCTGGCCAGAAGTTTCGATTTTTCGATTTCAGAGAGTGTAATGAAAAGATTGTGACCAAAAAAAAAAAAAATTTAAAAATATAGACAACAAAACACAAACCCAATGAGCTTATGAAAAAGCCTCCCAGGGGTTTGGATGTGGTATGTGAACTGAAGTTGAGTACACGATTAATTAAACACAGTGTAGACACTGAGCTGGCTTCCCCTCTTCCCTCCAAAACATGCAAACCCAAATAATGTGAAATAATAAACAGTTATTGTAAGAAACAAGCTTGGTTTTTTTAAATATTATCCTATGACCGCGGCCGTCAGTAAACAATTCGTAACCAGAGGGCGCTTTAACTGTTGCTGGGGTCTCTTTGATTTATTCAGCCAAGTATTGAATGGGACAGGGAAACAACAAGGGCAAAAATAAATATTTGATCAAATATGCGGAGTTTAACTTGACTGGTGTAAAATGAAATGTTGCAAAGGGACCCTCAAATCTCCCTGCTTCTCACGTGGCTTCTTGCGTCCTGGCATTGCTGAGGGAAGTCAAAAGGGATCAACATCCCTGAGCTTTTAATGGAGCATCTTTGATGAAATCGATAGGTTCCAATAATCATCTGAAACTGCTCTCTGTCGACTGAGCATGTGCTTTTAACTACACTTGTAACAGTTCCCTGGAAGCACAATTTAAAAAATACTGCAGTCAACAGGCGCTATATACATAGAAGAGAAATGATAAAATAATATTTTTCATTTTTTTTCCGGACAGATATTTTAAACTCTGCCTTAAGAAACACGTGTATTAAAGTATGTAGCCAGACCAGTATCTTCTCCATACAATACCACCTTCCCGCCCACCCTTCTCAAATGGAGACATAAGAAAAACATGTGAAAATTTTATGGGCATGAAAAGTAACCTGGAGTTAGGGGTACTCGTAGAGAGGATAGAGTTTCAAAGCTACAATCCAGAGCAGCCCTGAGCACATGAGAATGAGTGACTATTGTTTGTTTACAGCACATGTGCTGATAAAGAAAGAAAGAAAGAAAGAAAGAAAGAAAGAAAGAAAGAAAGAAAGAAAGAAGAAAGAAAGAAAAAATCGAAATCTAAATCTGGTCTTGCAAGAACATTGAGTCAATATGCAATCACATAAACAGTTTTTAGCATAAGTATGTCAAAAGTTGTTTACCACAATCTGTGTCCAGCTGCAAGGAAGCAGACTACCCTTTAAAGTTACCAAACGACCCTAACTAAACTATGGTTCAAGACTAATAAGATCGTCAGAATTGTCTGTCATTTGCAGACTGTGTTGCCATAGATCTATTTGATTGAAGACACCTACTGTTCCACACATAAATGTCAAGTTTCATAATATTTCCAATGCTACACTCTTTTTTTTTATTCTTTTTTTTTTTTTTCTCTTCTTTTTAATAAGTGGAAGAAAGCTACAAGTTACTCTGAAAAAATATTTCCAGATAACGTGGATTTTCCACGCGGCTGGCCAAAGCTAAGAGAAAATAAAAGGTCAACTGCAATTTAGAAAGTCCTTCTATATTATTTCACATCCTCATCACCAACTTCTTGCATCCTTTCCCCTTCCTACAGTTCTTTTCCGCGGTGCTCAGCGGTCAGGGCAAGGGCCACCCCACATCGCAGGGTACCATTCCGGTCACCGCACACTCCTCGCCGTTCTCCATGCCGGATAGATGTATAAAACACTTACCTTCGCGCATTTCTTAACCCAAAGCCCAGAGGCTTTAACTCCACGGAGAAGCCCCAGCGTCTCCCCCCTCCCCTGGCATCCCGAGCGGCTTTTTGTACAGCGGAGCTCGGTAAGTGCAATAATTACCCGTGTGGCTCCAGGGATGCAAAGTGAACAAAGGCCAAGATTTTCCTTTTTTTTTTTTTTTTTTTTTTTCCTCTTCCCTCCGCAGGGCTGCTCCCCTTGCCCCGGGCGGCTTTGACATTGATCTGAAGATCGCCATCTTGTGGCAAAGCAGCCCCTAAACCGCTGCCGACGTCCGTCCGTCCGTCCGTCTGCCCGCCCGCCCGCCGGGGCCCCGCGGCAGGACGGCGGGCGGGCGGGGGGACGGACAGACGGCGGCGGAGAGCAATGGTCGCTCACCTCCCGGTGTAAAAGCCTCTGGGCGAACCTCCGCTGCCTTTGGAGTGATGCATTTGGTACAGGCGAGCGGACAAGTCACGGACAGTTTTTATGGCCGCAATGTCACAGCAACACAGAGGATGCGATTTTATTGGGCTAGGAAATCCAAACCCCGACCACAGAAACTCCATGTTTTTACTGTCTCTAGGATTGGCTCTGAATACCAGTTAATTTTTAACCAGGAAAGGAAGCTTGCAGGCTTAATTTTCATTGCCATTCAGCTCTCCATCCGTCCCTCTGTCCCTCTCTCACCGTCTGTCCATCCATCTGTCTGTCTCCTTTTAACTGGCATTTCCCCTTGCATACTAGACAAACAAACAAACAAAGTCCTCTCTTTTCCCCCTCACTTTTCCACATTCCCTTTGGGTAAACGTTGTCTGGCTGGGTGGCGGTGGTCAACAAAGGCCCAAAGTCAGTAAGTCCTTCACCTCAAGGTTATGGGTGATGTCCAAGCAATACAGAAGTTCAAAGCCAGTAAACAATGCAAAAACAGAATCCACTTTCTTCTGCTGATTAGGATTAGGGTCAACATTAAAGACTCAAATACTCTCCTCAAAACACATTCCTATCTCAGCTATTGTTTGGTGTTTGTGGCTTTCTCCCCCCCTGCCCTCTCCAACTTTCTCCCTTCAGCCCTCCTCCCCCCCGCTGCCCGCCTCAGTCCACCCCCTCCCTGCCTTGGAGATCAAGGACAATTTCAAACAGTCCATTTCCACCACATTGCCATGCGGATTCCTTTCCCCAAAGACAACAATTTTCTTAAGGCTCTCAGATTCTGGCCGCATCCATCAGCTGCCTTGAAACTTCCCTTTGGTGCCAGCTTATAAAATGCTTCCCAAATGCTACTGACAAGCATTTCTCCTGGACACATGTGGCGGGGAGCAAGCAGCAATGGCACATCCAGCCCTCGAGCATAGGACCTTGCCCCGCCGGTGCTGGCAGGAGAACGAGAAGGCCTAACACGTAGCGAGCTATGAGCACACTTAATTTTCCTTTTCCTGTGACCCGCTGAAAGTATGCTCAAACAAGCCTAGGTTCACTTGTTAACTCCAGAGTAGAAGATTTAACGATGAAGTTCACAAAAGAAGAGTAATTCGCCCCAAATGACTGAAGAAGGTCATGAGGAATTTCGGGTCCCAGAGTTACATCGGGTAAAAGAACATGCAGTAACGTAACACCAGAGTAAAAATATAAAGTTTCCCTTTTTTTTAAATTTATTTTATTTTCCTTGTGCGCTGTTCCACTGTATACATGCAACCAAATACTTGCGCATATTAAAAGAAAACTGTATATACATATAGATGATACATATTGAAAACAGTGACATCATATAAAGATATTGCATTTTGTGAATTGTGACAAAGAAATTACATCCATTTGGTAAAATTTATTAGTCAAAAACATTCTTATCACCACTTTGCTGCACATGTAAAGAAATTCCACACCCTTTAGCCCCAAAGGAACAATAAACAAAACAAAACAAAAAAACCCCCCCCCAAATAAAAAAAATAAAAAAAAAAAAAAACGGGGGCAAAAAAAAAGGGTATTTGAACAAAATAGGTCATGGGTTCTTATTTTTTTTATTATTTACAAGTCTTGTAAAACACCGTTCCTGTATGAAATATACATTCAGATATTCTCGACAGCAAATTACCTCAATGATAGAACACGGTATCCTTTGTAAACTGATATAGAATTTTAAATATTTTCCTTTTTTTTCCTCTTTTTTTTAATTGCATTTTTTCACACTTTGGTTCCTGCAGGGAAATATATATATATTTATAGATATTTAAAATAAGTTCAAACAACTCTCCATTCTTTGCATACGTCGACTGGGCGACAAAGTAGAGCTCATGACATTTAAAGTAGACAACAACAAAATTACCATATTTACATTGTTTGGCTTCTGTTTAAACTCCTCACTAGTCACCTTTAAACGAACATGCAATAGTTATTTTAATCATCCAATGTTAGTGCATTGCACAACTCCAAGTTTCAATTAAGCGTTGTGTGGTATTTGCTAAACTGTCGTTCTCCACAGGTATTTCCTGAAGAAAGTTTGTGAGCCAGAAGCCAGAAGGTTAGTTTCCTTTAAGGAGTTGTTTCTCTTAAAATGCTGAAATTCACACTTTTTTGCCGATTTATTTTTAGTATTTGTATATGATTTGTCTCCAAAAAGATGGCAACGCATAGTCTGTTGTCATAAATAAAACAAGAGCTAATTAAATTTTTCTAATTTTATTTTTAGTGATTGTTTCTTTACGACATATGGCGAATTTATACCTGATTTTTAAAAGTAAATAATTAATTTTTTCATTTCGGTCTTTTTTCCCTCGCCCCCATCCCACCCCACACCCCCAAAGGAAACTCTACTATAACCATCACTACATCCATATTACAACTACTCGCGGTTTGGCCCCAGGAAGGTGTGGACATGACTCCCCCCCTTTCTTTAGTTCTGTATGTGTGTGTGTCCTTGTGTGTGTGTGTGCCCGTCCTTCAATTCTTATTCATTCACGAGCAATGAAACCCTGCCTGTAACCCAGATATTTTCCTAAGGAAGAACAAAAGATTAGTTCTCAGAGTTTATGTTCTGCAGTGGTCCTGGTTGGGTGAGCCCGACCTGGCAATCTCCAGACAGCTGTTCCACAGCAGCACAGGGGCGAGGAAGGGCCGAGGATGGGCGAGTCCGGGGATGGAGAAGGACCGTCCCCGCCCGTGCCTGCCGAAAGCGGTGGCAGGGTGAGCCGCAGTGCCTGGAAAGGTAAGAGGTATGGATTTTGCACTCAGAGGTGACGTGCACGTTTAGAAATGGATCCCATGTGGGTCAAAATCAAATCGATTCCAGTTGATATGTAAATATATATATAAAAAAATCATCATCGCAGTTCCAGAGTAGGTTTACATGTGTGTAAAACCTTAGATTCTTCTAGTCCCGTCAGATACACACCTCCTTCCTCCACGTAACCCCGTGGCTTGACCTTGTCAAGGGCGAAATCTGAATTTAATCTCGTCTTGAAAAACGCTATGAGTTTTAAAGTAGTGGATTAGCTGAGTAATATTGTAATCGGTCCCTGTTAATTTTTTTTTCTTTCATTCTTCTGTTCTGAAACCATATTTTGACTTGACGGTCGGTCAGATTGAGCATTCGGGAGAGCTGGAGGCGTTTCTCTTTGTTTATGTAGACACTGAAGAAGAATTCCCTTTCTAACTCTCTAATCTGGTATTTGGTGTATGGGCATCTCTTTTTACGCGTACGTTGTCCACCTGTGGAGCGAAAAAAGGCAGAAACATTTGAGACCCGGCGGTCGCCGGCGGCGGGGGCTGAGAAGGGACTGGGGTACTCTCAGGGAAAGCAGTTAATGTGGAAAAGACGCGTTTTGCCCGCTCCGGGGCCGGACTTGGTGGGTCTGGAGCTTGGCGCCAGCCCTCCTCCCTGGCGGGTGCGCGCAGCCGGGCCCGGGACCCGCCGGCACACCCCGGCTCCTGCAGCGCCGCGGCCCCGGGCAGCGTGCAGGGCGAAACCCCCGCCGAGACGCGGGGATCCGGCCTCGCTTCCTCCGCGGGGAGGGCAGCTGGAGGAAAGAGCGGTGGCGGGGGGTTCTTGCGGATTTCACGAGCCGGAGGAAAGCCTTTGTAGGCTGCTCCGCCGGGAGCCGCCACGCACGCCGAGCCGCCCAGGGAGCAGCCATCACCTGGCTGCCTGCAGCGGGAGGGGGGCCCGAGCCCAGCCCTGCCCGAGCCCCTGCCCGCCTGGATCTCGCCCTCCTTCCCTGGCCTAATCCCGTCTCTACGTCCCGAGCAGAGGAAAAACCCCAGAGCCCGAGGCTGAGGCGTCTCCTTCTCCCCCTAGCCGGCTATTTTCAAGCACGTTCTCCACAGCATCGAGGTATTCTCCTCTCGATTAGCCATTACGGTTTTAAAGTTCATTAAGCAGAATATAAAAGGTTTCAAGGTTCAGGAGCTCTTTACATTAAACGTAGCTGCTATCCCTTTAAAAACTTCCTTTTCTGGTACAGTTCATTGTCGAGGTATTTTTTTCCCCCCGGCCGTATACTAGCTTTGCCTTTTAAAAAGCCCACATAAAAAAATCAGACTTTGACAGATTGAATAACAATTGTAAGTAACAAACTGTTGGACAGAAGGCAACACGTAATTGCCACAGTGCCTTAGTAAAATGGCTTCCTTTAGACAAAAAGGCCAGCTTTAGGTTAATTTGCTTCTTTTAATATATTGCTACAGTTCAGGCGGCTACTTTATCTGTTAAACGCTATTCTAGCGCAATCGTTAAAACGGCGAAGGCTTTGAATTCAGCTCCTAACTAGACTTCTGGTGCAACACATGGCTTTTATAAAATCACTGGATTACATTGATATCAAAGGAGTCAGGATCTCCTTTTTTTGCCGAATTTACAGGCACAGATCTAACATTATTATATTTTTCAAGAGCTGGCCACGGAACTGTTTTTTTTTTATTATTATTATTAAAAAAAAAAAAAAAAAGAAAAAAAAAAGGAGAAGAAAAAGAAAAAAAAATTAGGCATCCATTGCCCGGTGGGTATTTCACGGCCAATTTCAGCACTAAACACGTGATCTCGCCTTTTATAACAAAGTTTTGTTGGGGGAAATCTAAAGGCCCTTCATAAACCTTATATGCTTATAAAACAGCATATAAAAATTTAACAGCGGCGGTGCGCTAGATTTCAAGCTGCCTTTCCTAAAAGCGCTCCGGCGCTGCCTTTATACGTACTGGAACTGCCGGATTTCTCCTCATTGTTGCCGGAAGATGACTCGGGGCTGCTGCTGCTCTCCGGCCGCCTCCTCCTCTCCTTCTCCGCCGCCGTCGCCGCCGCCCTGCCGCAGCCGCCCTCCGAACTTGAAGTTGCCGCCGCCGCCGCCCCGGCGGCCGCGGGCGCCTTCTCGCCACTCTTGTCTACCGGGTAGTCCGCCGAGGCCAGGTTTTCCGCCGTGCCATAAGCCGTCTCGAAAAATTGGTCGAAAGCCTGGGGCAGGACCCCGTTCCTGCCCACCGTGCTATAGAAATTGGAGGAGACGTTGGTGCTGGGGTGGTAGACGTTAGCTGTGTTTTTGCCGAACATCTCGCCCATGCTAGCAGTGTTGGTGGCAGGCAGGCAGTCTCTGTGCATGATCTCCTCTGCGGAGTAGCAGTGGGGCAGATTGTTCCTGGGGTGCCATTTACTGGAGGGATCAATGGCATATTCCCTGAAGGTAACTTCTCTCACAGGTTGGACCTGGGGTAGGTTGGAGGAGTAGGAGTATGTCATAGGGCGAGAAGACGGGGTTTGGGGCAAAAAAGAAGGGAGGCTGGAAAAATCAGGACCCGAGACGTAGTAAGTACAACTTGGCAAATACATGTTAGAGGAACAAGGAACACGCTCATCAAAATCCATCATTAGGGCTACCTCGGCTTCTCCGCATTAGCTGAGCTTAACATGATTCTCTAACGCAGCTGCCCCTTTGAAGCGGATCCGTGAAGTAAGAGATGGGGAGACGTAGGCTGACGTGGAGAGCTCTCCCGGCGGCGGCAGGGAGGTGCGGTCACGTGGCCCGACGTTGACATTGACGAGCGGCGGGCCCGGGCCCCGCTCCCTTTGTGGCCGTCGCAAAGGGGGAAAGCAACAGCTCGTCGCCAGCGCCCGGGGGCGAGCCGAGCGCAGGTTGGCCGGGGGGGAGCCCAGGGGGACACACAGCCGCCCTGCCACTGCCCCAGACTTAGCCGCCCGGGCCCTGGCACCCTCTGGCTCTGGAGCAGAGAGGCTTATCAATCCCCCCCAGGGTTAGGTGAGACCTTTCTGTTTGTTTGTGGGCTTGCTGGGGCGTTCGGCGGCTCGCTGGCAGGCTCCGAGGAGGAGGGCACCGTAGAGATGCACGCACGCTTTCTTGAGGAAAGCTGCTTACGAGGAGGAGGAAAACGCTCCTGAAGAAAACGTCCTTCCCCCCCTCCCCTTTTTTTAAAATTATTTCTCTCTTTTTTCCCCCCTTTTTTATTTTTGCGATCGCTTTGAGCTTTCGGTCCTCCCCCCTAAAAAAAAAAAAAAAAAAAAAAAAAAAAAGCCCCCACTCTTCAGGGTTTTTCTGGAAACCTTACTAGGAAGAATGTGCCAGGGTCAAGTCTTTACTGATTTTCATGGTGAATAGATTACATGCTTGCATTCATGTTCACTTCCGAAGCGCTTAGTGTCTTCCTTCCCTTACTTACATATTAACCTCAAATACCCCGCGCGGCTTCAGCCAAGCTTTACTGGAGGTAGTTAACAATGTCGGGTCCCCAGGATGCAGGTTTCCCCTCCTCACCCTCTCCAAACCATCCCTTGCCTCAGTCGCAACGCCAGAAACCCAGCAAGCCCTTTAAAGTGCAGACCACGGAGCTAAAGACTGTTTGCTGATCTCTCCGCCTCAACTCTGCAACTAAATGCTTGGAAAACCAGTGGATATTGGGCTACCCCAGCTTGACAAATACTCCGAGTTTAATTGCCAGAAGCCCAGTTAAAATTATTTGACATACTGTTAACCCGTAGAAGCAAACTCGCCGTACCGAGATACTTTCCTTTTAGCTTTGTGTCGTCGCTGAAGGCTGACACCCAAGGAGACCAATTTCAAAAACCTGGTTAAACTTTTACTATTGTTGCATGAAAGGGATGATATAGAAAGCGGATTGTACAGGGCAGAGACGAAAAAGTACTTTTCTGCCAATAAAAATGCACACCCCTCCGAACAAGCAGAGCCAAAGAAAACACAGGAATACGCCAAAGAATACAGCACCTTTTGAGGCACGGACATCCCTAAGCTCTCGGAAAAAGTATTTTTTTTGTTCTTCTGATGCTCGATTTCAGAAAAGAAATATCTGAGTTCCGGCTGGATTTTATCAAAATAGAAAAACAGAGTGGCAAACGGCTATTGTGAAGTCGGTACTCTTAGGAAATCAGACGTAGTTCAAGATCCATGCCCCCGTGGACTTGGGAGGCTAGTGGAAGGGAAACGAAAATGTTAGGGAAATAATATTTGGATTTCCCCCCCCTCTTCCTCTGCAGTGCTGTGGAAGTATTTATATATCCGGAGAAAGTTCTCCAGTAAATTGTGGAGATCCTCGGTATTTAAATGTCAACATCGATTTGTTTATTTATTGCTTAGCTTATCGTAACCGACACAATAACAAATCTAATCATGTTATGCAGAGAGAAAATATTCTCATTATGTATTTCCCCTACATTATAGTTAACTATTGCGTTTGAATTCAAGCTGTAAATTCAAGATTATCAAGTAATTACTTTGTAGTGGAGTAAACTAATTTATTAGCATTAATGTTTATATGCCTTTTTCTTATTTTACAAGGGTTACCGTTCACAAATCAAATGCTCTGGACGTATCCCTGTAATGAACTCTTTATTTTGGTTTGCTGCAAGAACTTCTTATGCTTACTGCACGTCTGTGAGCTGAACTTGAAATTAATGAATTAATCTTCCAGCTTGACATATTTGCTAGAAAGTGGATGGAAAGAGATTGCATGTCGTCAAAACCGCTAGCAGAAGACTGCAATGTCGTTTAGGGATTGTAAAAAGGTTTGGGGGCTTTCCCTCTCTCTCCCTTTTAATTTTTTTTTTTTTTTAACTTGAGGTGGGGAGGGATGTGCCAGAGCTCTGCTTGGCTTTTTCCTTAAGGCTGTAATTTTCCTCGCATTCACTTTCCCCCTAGTTTTTTGCGGGGGGTGGTCGTGGTGGGGTGGTGGGTGGAGTGGACTGGGGGGTCGGAAGCCCTCTTTTGGTGTCCGAACATTGGTTATTTTCCCTGTATACCCGCACCGTTCAATTCCGTCGATGAAAACCTCTCCCCACACCCTGCACACACGCAGACACTCCTCCCTTCGAACAAAAAGGAATGTATAAGGATTTCAGTGACTTTGAGATAACAAAGGCGCCACCATTGCCGAGCCTCGCCCCGCCTCTGTGTGATGGCAAACAAATTCTTGCACTTGTATTAGGGCTTTTAAGGCTATAATTGAACACGGCGCGTCTAGGGGAACCGAAAACAGTTCTAGACTGACCTGCGGTTTTATAGCACTTTGGCAGTCAACTTCAGCTTGTGTCAGAGCAGACATGACAGAGCTGCCCAACACTTAGTCGCGGGACGCCACCTCCTCGGACTCACTGCAGCCGCCCTCTAGCATTTCAATAAATTTCAAACCTTGGGGCTAGAAATGGGGAGCAGAGCTGGCACAGGTTTGTATGGGGCTCTTTGCCGCTCCTCTCTGCAGCGGGGGCTGCGGCGCCGTGCGAGGCTCCGCCGTGCCAGAGGTCGGTGCTGCCTCTGGGAAACAAAGGGAAATTAAGGCAAGAAGGGCGAGAAGGCAACTGGAAACAGGAGTGTGTGTGCGTGGGTGTGCGTGTGTCTGGGCATATATGTGCTTGCACAGCATGCACACGTGCAGCCCCGATGCCTGCTTTTGAATCGCTGGAGCTCTCTCCCCCACCTCTCCAAACCAAGCAGCCTATTTCTCTTCAAGCGGGTTTGTAAGGCAGGGGGACCCCAAAACGCCTCCGGGTGCCGCCTGCACAACAAGCGGGAAGGGTGATGGGGAAAACCGAGGGGGGCTCAGCTCGTCTGGGAGCGAGTAGACACCCAAGGCACAGGCTGTTCTTTGCTTTATTTGCTGTTAAGTGAAACAAGAGATAATGTACGCTAAAAGTCCCGGAATGTGTGGGTAATTGCAGGGAGCCTGCTGTTAAGTTGCTGTGTTCAGCACAATTATCAATGTTGATTATTTGGTCTAATGTTGAATTGCTCTTTTAATACAGTAATTGGGACTTCCGCGTTGAGGAAGGGGGAAAACCGAGCCTTCCCCTCGCTAACCTCACTGAGAACAACATAAACAAAGGCAGGCATTTCGTTTGGAGAAGCAAAATGCATTCGTTACGCCTTCCCATGTATTTCGACCGGATTAGAGAGGGTAAAACCGCTCTGAATTTGGAACCTCTGCTGCAGGACGATTTTGCAAAGGAGAAGCGTGGCCAAGAGGTGGGGAGACTGTTACCCATAGCTAAGCTAAACAAAGGGAGGAGAAAAAAAGCTACATCTCTTCTTCTTTGGAGGAATATAAACAGAACTAGGACGCCTCGATAGTCTAGCTTTTACATATACAGATGGTGTGCAAGGGGAACTGTTTAACTCACTACTGCTTCTCCAAAAGGTCAAGTTCTATTGTATCTAAATTGTTGTCTTTTTGCACCGGACTTTGCTTGGAAAATATTTCAAGCCGACCATTTACCTTGCCAGTAGGGTGGGTGCCTCTAATTAACAGGAGGAACATGTGCTAGAAGGAATTTGAGTCAAGACGAGCTAATTAAAATATTACAGGATCGCTGGCTTCAATCTCTGCTGCTTCTCTCGCACAGGGAGGGTGAGGGATATTACGACTCGAGGAGGAGAAAATATCTAAGGAGTTAGGACAGTGTTTCGTAAAACTGAGGGTTGATTACTGTCTACAAAGGCTTATTAGTAAAGCATAGCATTAGGAAATTTGAAATGTTGCTAAAAAAAAAAAAAAAAAAAAAAAAAAAAAAAAAAAAAAAAAAAAAAGCAAAAAAACCCCACCAAAAACCGCACCATCTTTCCACCTTTACCAATGCAAATAGGGGCACAAGGCGATAATTCGTCACAAAATTTGCCAGGAATTCAGCTTCAGAAAAACCTGCTGATTATTGGATTTTAAATAGCTCGGGCTCAGAAGTTCTTAAAAGGCATTTTTTTTCTGTTTGCCGTTTTGTCTGTTATGGAAAGAAGCTATAGGTATACGGCTTTGTTTTGTTTGTTTGTCTGTTTGTTTTTAAACTAAATACATTTCCGTAAGATTGCAATAGAATGAAGTGCTACAATAGCTAGCTAAATAATTTAAATAATAGGTGAATTCTTGTATGTATACGTGTATATATTGATGAGATGGAAGCCCCGTTCTGTGACATGGCTATTTATTTTCCAAAACGTGAGGCGGCGTGGTTGTGATTTTGCTAGGAAACTGCAGAATACGTGTAAAGAGAACGAACAGATGTAAACAGGATTCAAAGTAATTTTGACTTTTTTTTTTTTTTTTAAACCATATTACATTATTTCAGAGGCTTGAACCCCTCAAAAGGCTGCAGTCATCTGGGCTAGAATACTTCAGATTAATTTTTAATATCAATTAGCAAAATCCTTTCTTTTCCTTTGTCATCCTCTGTCTTTTTAAGTTGCTGAAATGAAAAGGGCGATTTTTTCTTTCCCCAACCAAGCCTCCAGTCTAGTTTTAATTTTAGGATTAAACGACTACGGACCTACAGAGTATACTCGTTGTTGGCCACCTATCATGATATTTTGCATCCCTGATGAACATCTGAGGGCTCTCTGCCTCTGATAACTACAAGTAACTGAAATATTGCGGGTTTGGTGTGTGGGTTTTTTTTTTTTGGTTTTTGGTTTTTTTTTTTTTTTTTTTCCAGGAGAGGAAACTACTTCTATATAGAAAACTTCATGTTTCGGCAGCTATTCTCTTGCTCACCAGCAGACAAACGATTTGCTGTTCTGACAGCCTCCCGGCGCCTTCCCAACGCGCGGGGAGTCTCTCACAATGTCGTGTCTCCTCAACCCCCGGTTTCCCAGCCCAGAGCTCCAGGGTCTCGGGGCTCTGAACACCTCTAAAATGTTCACATTTACTACTCGGAGCCTAGTTCTGAAAGAAAATGCTGGAGGGTTTGGCAGTAAGACGAACGCAAGAAAGGTTTTCTCACACCAACTAGTATATCAGAAATTGATTGACTGACGATGCTTCTATAAATGTCCCTTTTTCTCCCCTTGAACCCTCTCGGAGGCTTTTCCAGCACAGGAAAACACAAACAATAACTTATTTTCCTCCCCCGTCTATCCAGATACAGGTGCAAGAGACTTCTAGCAAACTTAGTCTGCGGGAGAGGGGTGTCTAGGGCCAGCGGAGGGCTCTAAACTGCTGCGAAAGCAAATTTTCTTGGTTATAATGCGCC